GAATTTGGCAATTTTTCAAACTGATAAATTTTTTTTCAATTACTTACCAACGAAGTGCTTTGAAAGGATAACATTTTTGTATTCAACCAGGACATACGTATGTATATACATATACATATGTACCAGACTCATAATATTTCTACGTATTAGTTACGGATTCTAAATTATCAATTTGAATCAATTATGCTGAAACCCACAAACTTAATCGAATCGGCCGAAAAATCATTCGGCTAATTTTTCTCAGGTGTTCCAGGAATTATAATAATAGCTGTATTAGAAAATATCAACGACAAAAGAAGAAGCGCTAAAATGGACTACACTAATAGCGAAGAATACTTACCCACGTCAAAAAAAAGGGCACCGAACTGGACGACCCCAGCGACGATAAAAAAGCACCAAAACGGACGACCCAAGCGAAGAAAACACCAGAATGGTGACATCAATGACGAAAGAAGCATCAAATGGACGACTCCAATGGCAAGAACTACAAACAAAAGTACCTAAAATAAGCAAACGAAATGCAAAAAAAAAAAAACCCATAAACTTGCCTGAACCGAAATGCAATTAACGAAAAAAAACCAATCTGGACAACACCATCGACGAAGAGAATTCACCAGAATGGACGATACCAATGACGAAGAGAATTCACCATAATTGACGACACCAACGACGAAGAGAAACACCAGAGTGGACGACACCAACGAACGACACTCATTACCTAAAAGAGATAGTTAGTACATGAACATAAAGCTGAAAACAACAAAGAAAAAAAAATACTTAGCCCAAAGCCGATTTCGTCTCCAGTGAGTTATTTCACTCATTGCCAACCACTCTACTGAAGCCAGCCAAAAGCCAAAAAACCCGAAGCTAGAAAATACAAAACCGGAAAGCCTGAAGTCAGAAAAACCCGAAGCCAGAAATTTAAAATCTAGAAAACCCGAAGTCGAAAACACGAAGCCAGCAAGCCTGAAGCTAGAGGCAAAAAGCCTGAAGCCGGAACTTGAAACCAGAAGACACGAAGCTGGAAAACCTGAAGTTAGGAAACACGAAGCCAAAAAACCCAAAACTGATAAAAATAATTAAAAATGTTAGAAATAAATAAAAACTAAAAAATAAATGAAATAAGAAAATTCTATGTTACACAACCAGTAATCATCACCGCCGGTGATTCTAAGTTATTTTCTAAAAAAAAATAATAAAAATAAATAAAGGCTTAAAAGAAAATACTTAACAGGATAACCGCAAATCTCGTAAATGCCGCAATATCGATTGAAAGAAAATTCTAATTCGTAACAAGACCAACTCTCACCTCGACCTAGGCCTATCATATTCGGATGTAGAACTTTTAAATTGTAACTATAAAATTTATAAAAAAAAATGAGTAATGTCTCAGATAATTAAATCGGGTCAGAATGGCTAGATACAAACACATCCTTAACAGATCCCATTTCCAGAATCTGAGCCTAGGATGACAGTTTATATCTATTTAGGCTACTTGAAGCAGTGCAACACCTCACCTCTCCGGAGCGGAAAGCGAAGAGCCTAGTAAAAAGCTACCACGGCTACTTGCAGAGGGATATAGACCTCACGATACAAACCCTCTCTTTTTTACAAAAGAGGCTCCAAGTAAAAAAAGAGGCTCCAAGTAAGCACACCACACTAACCTTTCTATTGGAGCGGATCAGACCACCACTTAGTCAAGACCCGTGTTTGTCCATAGAAAATTAACTAACCTTTGTTTTAGATTTCAAAAAATTTTTGGTTGTAAGCCTTGTTCTTGATTATACTGTTATTGGCAAAACCTCGTGCTCTCAGAAATCAAGAATTATGCGAAACGATGGACGATGGACCTACGAATCGTTACGCAAAAGACCGTTGTACTGCAATGTCCCGGGAACCACGATTTTCGAACGACGATCATCTGCAAGTAAACATGTTGAAGCCAGGAACCCGTTTGAAGCATTAAACGTTGATTTTGTGAAATCTAAGCCCCCATCAAACGACCCCATTGAAGAAAAAGACGCTCACCCGATTCGGTATAACAGCTGTCAAGGTAATATTACCTTGTCGGGTAAAGTTTGTAGCCGTGAAAAAAAGAAAAGCACATGAGTCGATGAATGAGTCAATGAATAAATGAGTGAATCGACGGGTAAAGAACGATGACGGCGTAGAAGCCTTCATTTGACTTGCCTTCTTTTTCTTCCATTGAATTTTTCAATAAGAATGGCTGTGTGTAAGGGTTGAATATTAGACTAGAAAAGGGTCGTATAGCTTGAGTTCAATGACGGTTTAATGACAAAAGATGGAAGAAACGTTCGATCTTGTTCTTTTTTCTTGCCCTGTAATTTTGTTATAAATAAGAGGTAAAATTTCTCTTGTCGAAAATAAGTTACGAAGTGTGTAATTTGCTCTCCATACAAAATAAAGTTAATAAAAGTTCTTAAATGCCCAAACCCAAACGTTCTTTAAAGTTGCATTAAAATACTTACGTATCGATACTTAGTAGACGCCTTAGACCCTCGTCCAATTAATATCCGCCTCACCTTTCTACTAGGCATCGTTACACGACGTCTCTCTTTGTTGTAGCGATCATTCGACGTTTTAGTACCTTCGTGTTGGAGGTATAATTTTGGTCGATTCGCCTCTGACAATACTATAATAGGAAAAAGTTAACTTTATATTTATTTCATACATGTA